TTCTCCGTGAGATCGACCACGACTTATCCTAACTATAATTTTGTGATTGAGTTCGGTAAGGAAAAAGAACTCATTATTTTATGATCATTAGATTTGTTTAGAAAAAAAATAAAGTACATTGATTTATCAAGGCACGTTGTGGCCATCACTTTTTATGGTCATCGAATTTGCCTAAAAATCAGCTAAATATATGTGGAGAACTTGTTTAACGGAAAAGGAACCTCCAAGCAAGGATGCACATCTATAAAGAATTCAAGCTAAGCAACGGTGATGATCTAATTAGATAGGATTCTCAATATAAATGAATAAATGGGTTAGTCATAGAGTTGGTAGAGTCTTAGGTGCTATTCTTTTGAGAAAATACTTAGACATGTATTTTGATATGAAGAGAAAATAATTCCTCGGTGCTTTCTACAGCTCCTTCCTAAGTTTTTGGTCCATCAATTGAAGGGGTAGAAAATTTTCTTAAGTGTTCAACTAACAATAATGAGATTGATTTTGTTTTCTTGTTTGTAGAATATTTTTTACAATTTAAACACATCATGTGATGGATTCTTTAAGCTAGTAGAAGTTAACACTTAGTTATGCCAAAACAACTTAACCGAATGGGTAAGGCATGACAAAAAACAACTAGTCCTCTAAAAATGAACAATTGAGCATGAAAAGCTCGCGATTTGACCGAGTGTGCGGTTTGGCTAGCTACACATGGCACAACCAAAGACAACTAGTTCCAAGAAAAAGAATGACTAAGCTTAAAGCACTCATGATTAGTTAATGTATAACTTGGCTATATAGATATAGGATAGCCATAAGAAAAAGTAATTGAGCATGAAAAGCTCATAGTTTGGCCAATGTGTAGCTTAGCTCGATGGAGATGACTTTTCCATAAAAAAGACTAATTGATCATGAAAATTCATAGCCTAGCCAACAAGTATCTTAGTCGGATGGACATAGCATTGCCATTAAAAAGAACAACTAGGCATAATAAGTTCATGGCATGGCCAATATATTGGTTGGATGGACATGGCAAGGTCTTTATCAAAAAGAATTTGAGTTTAATAAACTTGCAAATTGGCCAATATATAGGTTAGTTGGCTAAGTGACTTAACGAAGGGTTTAATAAATTTGTTTTTTGACAAACATGTGTCTTTTGGAAAAAATTTAATAGTATAACACTCATGTGTCTTTGTATCCATCTTTTGAGATGTCAAGTACACAATTTTTTTAAGCCAAAAGAAGATAGATTTTTTATATAGGACTTGTTCACTTTATTAACATAAAATACTTGAGAACTATCGGCGTTAAGAATAATTTTATTACATATGGTATCGGTTGATTCATTGAAAATTAACGAGCACCGTGATAACTTTGATCTATAGATTTAGCCACTTGGCATAACTATTATCAAAGTCATTATTCTTTCTTATCTTATCAACCCTACGAATGCCTTTTTTATTCTTATAGTGGATCTCAAAAGCCACTAGTTGAATAGAAATTTCATTGGATTTGACAACCCTAAGCTCTCCATCAACGATATATCGATCAAAAAATGATACTTCAATAAAATGAGACTTATCGTGCTTAAAAGGTGCTTTGACGCTAGGAGTAAAGATGCTCATCCATCTTCAATATCATTTCATATAATGGTGCTTAGAGGAGGGGATCAAATTATACTCATAAAGGAAAAGCCTCACAATCATCAAGTGATTGGACACAAGAGCATTAATAATAAGAAAACAAATTGGACGTCGAATATGTCTTATTTGAAAATCAACCATAATATGGCCTTGAGTTTGATAGTAAATGGTGTCAAAGGCCTTGATATTAGTTAATGTTTAGTTTACAAATCTCTCATCAATTCCTAAACCCTTCAAAGTGGTAAGCGGTAAGAAATTTAAAAAGCATCATTGTGAACGAAGGTCCTATGAATTGGGCAATCATTCACCTTGCTCTTCATACAAAGTGGACAATTATTGTTGATCTTCTCTGTACGAGGATCGAGCATAAGTGAAGATTAAATCATTCTCATAGTTCTTTGCCATCTTTCTAACGAAAGTCAATAAAGGCTGTGTTTATTTGGGGGAAAATAATTTCCTCATTTTTTTTAGTGCTTGTTTCGCGTTTAAGAAAAAAGTCAAAAGAAAATGATTTCTAGTCAACGAAAAATGATAGATTAGTTTTGAGAAAATGTTTTTTCGGTTTAAAAAAATGAAAAATATTTTTCTTCTCATGAGTTGTCTCGCTCTTGCGTTACTTACATCTCTCTCGATATATTTTACAAAAAAATTTCTCTATCTTCTTTTTATCTAAAATATATCAAATTAATTTTTAATTATTCCTTATCAATTATTATTTATTATTTAATTATTTTTTTCTCTATTTCTACTAATATTTGATTTTTTGATTTATAGATACATTAAATATTCTTTAAAATCATTTTTAAATCTTAAAATTATTTTTATAGTAAATAATAATTTATCTTTATTTTTTTACTATTATCTCAAACACCACTTGCATTATACTTAAATGATTGAAAATGATTATTACAAGACTCGTAATTTTTTATAAAAACATTGAAATTAATTAAGTCATTAATAAATAAATTATTTTTTCAACACTATTCATTTGCAACTAAATCAATAATTTTTAATTTTAATCAATTGTAAAATTTTGTTGGAAATTGTAGTGAATAATTAGTTACAAATTATTCTAACATTGATCTTTTGAAGCCAAATGAATAATTATCTATAAATGATAACTAATAATTTATAAAATTATTTTTTAGACCAAATTATCGAGTTCAATTTCTAAAAAAAAAAGAAATTCTTAATTAAGTTACCAAAATAACAATGCTAGGATTACTTAGATTTTTTTTTTTTTTTACTAAATGTGAATATTGACTTGATTTTGTCCCAAGTAATTTTAATGAATTGATTTGATGGTTAAAAAATATATATTTTATTTTTTAATTAAAATTTAGAGTCGGTATTTATGAAAATTTATTAAATTTTTATAAACGTATCATATATTGTAAAATTATGACTATGCCTTTTTGAAGTTCTCTCAAAACTTGTTGATATAACAATCACATATTATTTTTATATTTTAATTTTTCGTATTAAACAAATGTCTGAAATATATTTTTCAGCAGTTTTTTCATGTCATTATCAAACAGTAGAAAAAAAAAATTTTAAATAATTTTTTGAAAATTAGCTTTCTCATAAATTGATTTTCCTATGAAAATTGCTTTTCATCAAACAAACTCAGCCTAGAAAAACACTCACTGTATTGTCCCTTGGATGTGAGGACAATTGCTATTATAGTTGTTTGTTTGGCTTACTCATCTAAATCCAAGAGACAGATAAAATTGTGAAAATTTGAATTTTTTTTCAATAAAAATTGAGCAATAAAGACGTCTTCTTCTTTCATATAGCGTGTGCTATTATGGGTACGAGTAACTTGGTACAAGCAAGTCCTTTTTTTCCAACTCAATAGGGTCATAAGCAGCATCATTCACTTCGGTCGTGGAGTGATTCTAATTTTAATTTTTACGTATTGACTAATTGAGTATATATATATATATATATATTAGGTTGACTATATTCCTTTTAGATATTTTAGGATATAAAATTTCCTACACAAAACTAGTGAACCTGTAAAAATCAAAATGTGAACCTCATGCAAGGTGACCTAAACTAAACTTTTTCAAAACTTGTCGGAATCACAATCCACATTAAACCAAGCCAATCTTGAGCCAGGGACCCCTTCCACTTGTTTGGTTCCATTTAGCTTGTATGGTTACCAGGTCCCTACTCCCTGTACGACGACAAATTTTGTAGCAGGACAGGAGAGGACAGCAAAGACAGTCGAGCTTGACTTGGCAAGGTTTGATATCAGCTCCGTAAAAAATACGGCGTCGTCTTCACTTCACTTGTCGTGCAGTGCTCCAGAGAGAGCAGGAGGAGGTAGATGCCTTGTTCATGCCTATCCATCCATCCATCCATCCATCTATCTATCCCTACGAGTTGGAAATAAAGTAGGCCCAGAGAGACTGCACATTGAAGTGACTAGATGGACCGCTTTGTTTTTCTGGCCTGAGCTGTGAAATCTACTGATGCCTGCTGCCTGCTGCTCACATTAAAGCAAAAGCAGTACCATGGTTTGGTTTGCGTTTGCATTTTATCAAATATTATTTACTAATAGAGTGCAAGTACACGCTAAAATTCAAAAACAATACTTCCTTGGTTCTTATATTGATATGCGTTTTAAATCTCAGCAAGAAGAGAGACTTTGTTATGACCGGTGGGTTTTGCTGTGTGCACTACTGAGCAGCCGTACATATCCATTAGAGTAAATGAGGTTTCTTTGCTACTCCTACTCCTATTCTTGTCTTCAGTGTTAGGGTCTTTCACCTAAGATTTTTAATGGTAATCTTGGGATCATATTAATTAAAGAAAAGAAAAAGGAGAGGCAACAAGGGGAGTGTAGGGTAAAGTAAAAGTAGAGGTCTTTCTCATACACAGATCCCTATGGAATGCAGGTAGGATGCCCAGCATTGCTTGCTGGAACTCATTCTTTTTGTTTAGTTTAAAGGGATTTGCTTTGTTCTCTTTAGAAATCTTTCCACAGAGAGAGAGAGAGAGAGAGAGAGCGCATAGATTCAGTTGCAGGAGTTTGGATTTGTTTTTAGATGAGTGGTTAGATTTGGTCCAACTCCAATATATATCCAGTTCTGCAACAAGCTTGAAAAGAAAAGAAAAAACTTCTAAAAATATTGAATATATATACACACACACTATGTTGTGAGTACATGATTGGTTTATTTCTTCACCAATCATTGTGTTTTCCTTGCCCTTGCCTGATAAGATTCTTCTCTAATTAAGTTAGAATTTGGTGACATCAAAACCCAGAAAATAAATATGAAGTCCATGAACAATGATGATAGCAACAATAACCATAATGCTAACTGGTTAGGCTTCTCTCTGTCCCCTCAAATGAAAATGGAAGTTCCATCAGGTGCTAACCACCATCACCAAACACAGTCTGCCTCGGCTGCTATTCCTACTGCAATCCCAACAAGCTTTTTCCACTCCCAATTACCACACCTCAACTGTGGCATTTACTATGGTGTTGAAGGTGAAAATGGTGGCTTCTACTCTCCTTTGCCTGTTATGCCATTAAAGTCTGATGGGTCACTGTGTATGATGGATGCTCTCGCCAGGACACAGCCTCAAGGTTAGCCTACTTTAACTCAAACTTAAATTGTTATTCTTTTCTTTTGGGCTTTGGTTAAATGTTGTCTCTCAAACTTCTGGACACTTGTGTTTGACTTTTTATGTGAAGCAACAATGGCAACAACTTCAACACCAAAACTCGAGGACTTCTTTGGTGGTGCAACTATGGCGACCCATCACTACGAAAGCAATGATAGAGAAGCTATGGCTCTTAGCTTAGACCGTAGTACTAGTATGTATTATCACCAAGAGCCAGATCAGGAGCCCAACAACCAAAATTGTCTAAACTATCTTCAAGAAAACTCCAGACAGCATCACCATCACCATCACCACACTCAAGTTCAACAGTACCCATATTACTCTAACTTTAGGAACAATGAGATGTTAGTTGGAGAGGATGCTAAACAAATTACTCAGGCTTCAGATTGCAATCTTCTGGTTCCAAATATGGGAGGTGATGATGGGATAACTGGCATGAAAAATTGGGTTTCGAGAAACTATCAAAGCAACCATGCCATGGAGCAGAAGATGCTTAGATGCATCGTTGACAATGGAGGTGAATCTGGGCCTAATATTAGTGCAATGACATACGGGGATTTGCAGTGTTTGAGCTTGTCGATGAGTCCTGGCTCCACGTCAAGCTGTGTAGCTGGTTCTCAGCAAATCTCACCTTCTGTGACTGACTGTGCAGCCATGGAAACCAAGAAAAGAGGACCTGAAAAGGTGGATCAGAAGCAAATTGTTCACAGGAAGTCCATTGATACATTTGGGCAAAGAACTTCTCAATACAGAGGTGTTACAAGGTTAGTGCTTTTTTTCTTTTTCTTTTTTCCTATTTCATTTGTTTTGATTTTTCTTTCTTGAATTAAGTCTTGATTTTTCATAACCAAAAAGTTTTTTACTTGCACATTAGTTTTTGCACTGCTCTTCCCTGTACCTGTAGTCTCTGCTCTTTCTTGCATTGTATGGGCCTCTTGATCTAATTTCCTTCTTTTTTTTTTCTTTTTTTTTTCTTTTGTTTGTCTGCCCTTTGTTCACATTATATTATTAAACACAGATAATTTAATGGATTTTGTTTAATCAGGCATAGATGGACAGGGAGATACGAAGCCCATTTATGGGACAACAGTTGCAAGAAAGAAGGTCAAAGCAGGAAAGGAAGGCAAGGTTAGCAAAAATAAAAAATAAAATGCATAATCAACCATTTTCCCTATAATATTCTTGCTTTGAATGTTTCTATAATTTTTTTTATTGGTCCAACTAATAAATATCACTGTTTTTTTTTTTTTTTTTTTGCTTGGTTGGGGATGTCATGATGATTCTCAGTTTATCTGGGTAAGCCTTTTTCATGTACAATGATCGGTCATTTTTAAACTATTGTCATATGTACTAATACTTAAGAAGTAAATACAAAATTTTAATTTCAGGGGGCTATGATATGGAAGAAAAAGCTGCAAGAGCTTATGATCTAGCTGCTCTCAAGTATTGGGGACCCTCTACTCATATCAATTCTCCTGTAATGATTTCGACCTTTTTTTTTCCTTATTCTAATTTTGCAGGGGGAAGGGAGGCTTCTTTCCAATATTTTTACTGAAATGCAACTTTTCTTTTTCTAGGTGGAAAACTATCAAAAAGAAATTGAAGAAATGAAGAACATGACCAGACAAGAATATGTTGCTCATCTAAGAAGGTTAGGATCTTTTTCCTTTCTGCATGTCCATGTATTCACATGCTTTCTTTTGAATCTAACTTTTGTATTTTGTATTCTTTTTTTCCCCTTTATTGGAGCAGGAAAAGTAGTGGATTCTCTAGGGGAGCTTCAATGTACCGAGGAGTAACAAGGTCTTGATCATATCCTATATTATTTAGGAAAATATGAATGTGAATCTTGTTTGGTCCTGAAGTCTTTGTATTTATGTTTTAATTTTAACAGACATCATCAACATGGAAGATGGCAAGCTCGGATCGGAAGGGTTGCCGGAAACAAGGACCTTTATCTAGGAACTTTCAGTGAGTTATTGGGCTATTAATATAGTTTGTGCTTATAAGTTTGCCTTGCTTCTGCCAATTGTGATTTTTATACTTCAATCCAAAAATTCAGGCACGCAAGAGGAAGCAGCTGAGGCCTATGATGTAGCTGCCATCAAATTTCGTGGGGTTAATGCTGTGACAAACTTTGACATAACAAGGTATGATGTGGAACTAATCATGGCTAGCAACACACTTCTTGCCGGAGAACTGGCCAGGAGAAACAAAGACATTGGACCTTGTAATGATGGTGCCAATCACAATCCTTCTACTCATAACAGCAATGGGGAATCCATGCCCTCACAGAAGAACAGTGAAAATGAAGCAGATTGGAAAATGGCCCTCTATCACTCCTCCCGGCAACAGGATCATAAAGCCTCAACTGTCGTGGATAATTACAAAACTCAGGCTTTCTCGTTTTCCCCAGAAAATGTAACTGGAATGGATAGCATGAGCTCAGTTCATCAGCAAGAAGTAGAAGACTCATCCAAGATGGGAACTCACTTGTCAAATGCTTCTTCGCTGGTGACTAGTTTAAGTAGCTCTAGAGAAGGAAGCCCTGATAGAGCAAGCCTACCGATGCTCTTTGGAATGCCTCCATCAGCAACGTCCAAGTTGCTCACTAGTCCAACTAGCGATGTAAATTCTTGGATCCCAACAGCAGCAGCAGCAGCCCAGTTGAGGCCTGCAGTCTCCTTGCCTCACATGCCACTTTTTGCTGCTTGGACGGATGCGTAGGGTTTAGTGTTTTTAGTAAGCTGCAAAACTGTTTTTGCACGAGGAAGAAAGTTAAGTTGGGTTTTTATTTGGGGTTTTCTCTAGTTAATGACGAAAAACGAGGGGGCTAATGGACACTTAAGTGCATGGGGACCTTGTTCATGAACAAGAGCTTCAAATTTTCAATCTCGTCCTTTTTTTGACCTTCCTTGTGACGATGTTGAAAAGCATTCACGTCTATGGATTGATTTTTGCAGTATGGGAATGTGGCGATTATCATAATTAGACTCCACAGCTTTATTGCCTCGCTCAAGTACGGAACAGAAGAGATAGCAATCGATGGTCTCTTTTGCTTTGAGCCTGGCTTTGACCATATATAATATTTTCTGATCTCATCTCCACTTATGATTCTCCATGGCTCCATGTACATAACATCATCATTACTAGCTATCTTTATCATCTCACCTTTCTCTAAAGATGACACTACATTCTACATTGCATGCCAATAATTCCAAAAGTGCAGAAAAGAAAAGGGTTGTGGAGGTGGAAACTTGATTCCTATTTGAGGAATTTAACTGGCTGGTTATGTCAGCATACACTGAGCAAAGCAGTGATGTTAGGGAAAGGAAAAAAAAACCTGAAAGCTCTTTCTTTTAAAGCACACTCATTGCAAGCTAATGATGTTGGGTATAAAAGCAATTCCATGTCCACATGTGGATTTCAAAGGCCAGTCAGTGCTTCACATTGTGTCTGTTCACACACGTGTTCTATCATATTCGTTCTTTTTTTTTTAGTAAATTATAAATTATTCCTTCTATTTTGGGAAAAATTAATTAGTCCCTTTTTTTTAAAAAAAAAGTAATTATTTAGTTCATTTGACTACTATTAATCAATCACTTTTAATTTAATATCATTTCATTTTAAAAAATATTATATTTTCTTATCAATTTTTCTATATTTTTTATTTTTTTCTATTTATTAGAATAAAAAATCAAAATAAATTAAAAAACGAAAATGATTAAGTTATAAAAAAATGTAAACATATAATAACTAAACAATAAGTTTTTTTAAAAAACGAAATTTTTTTTCCTATTTTATTTATGTGCATTTTCATTTTTCCCTAACAAACAATTCTTGGGTCATTATTATTTGGTTTCAAGTCAATGCAGTAGTTCAGTGGGTACAAAAAGAGAATAGTATGTTGAATTATTCAGATTATTCATTAAGTAGCTACCATATTTATAGAGCTTATTATCTTATTTATCATGTTAAGCACTTGGTTCTCAATTATCAATTTTTTCCATCAAAATTTTGATTTAAAAATTTGTTTGTTTCTTCTCACATTCTCTGAAAAAGATATTAAATTAATTTATAATTAAACTATCATATGCAATACATGGGGTGGTTAATTTTAACAATAAAACTTGACAGATAGATATATAAGATGTTATAAATAAAATAAATGAATAAATTAAAGATTACGATTGATTGAATGATTTATACTTATACAATTCAGAAAACATGCATTATAAAAAAAAATGCATTAATAGGTTTTTTTTTTCACGATGGAATGACTGTTTCAATATATATTTATATTTTTTTATTTCAAACCATAATATTTGTTTATGGAGCAATTTGTTAAGAGAGTGCACAAGGGCATTTTATCATAATATGTATTTTTTTATTTAATTATGCTAGTGTTATTAGAAAATTAGTACATCATGATTCTTTTTCTTTTTTTCCCAATTTATCGTTAATAGTGTTTTTAAATTTTTCTATTTAAAGAGTTTTAATAACTTTATGGGAGGAAACGTTGAATTAATAAATAAAACTTAAAGGTTTTCAAAGTTTTCGGCCTATAATTATATTTTATGTTCTTTATTTTGAGAACTTTTGAGAACGAATAAAAACAAGTTATTCCGCTATCCGTCAAATCACTCATGCCACTGTCACCAGTAATAAGCCATTAAAATGTTACAGATAGGATCCATGCATCTGGTCAACAAAGTTTCCCTGCCATGACATGCTGTTTATTTTACTGTATCTTTTTTACAGGCCAAGGGATGGGATGCCCATAATTGCATTTCATTTTCCAAAGATATGAAACCAATATATATTGTATTGAAAAATTAGTGAAATAGGTGCTACACGACCACTGAAATTTATAGATAAATTCGATAAAAATAGCATTTCTGATTTATTAGGTTACAAATTTGATTTTCAAATTTTTTTTTTAGGCATATTGATACCCTATATAATTCAGATTTTTTTAATTGAGATCCTAAATTTTTTTTCTATCAAATTTAAAAGTTTTACTCATATTATTACTTTAGGCCTTAACCTTGTTAGAGAATAATATAAATCATATCTCGTGATCTTATCTAACGACTTAAGCTTTTGAGTGAGAAGGTCACTTGTTATGGTATCGAGTCTTAATGATTAAACGGTCACGAATTCGAATCCTATCACATTCATTTTTCTTTTTAATTAATTAAGCACAAGGTAGTGTGGACATGTGCAATAATATAAGAATAAAATTCTTAAATATGATAGAAAAAAAAAACTTAGGATCTTAATTAAAAAAATTCAAATTGTACGGAATCTCGATATATGTAAAATCTATTTTTTTTATGAAACACTTGATATAAAAATAAAAACTGATCTAAAAATATTTAATTATCCGTAGATATCAACAACAACAAAAAAAACGCTACTATGATGAAATATTGTAGTATGGCCAGCAACAAGCTTATCATAGCAATTGTCATGACCAGATTATTTTAGAATAACACAACATTTTTCAGATATTTATCAAAGAGGATAATGGCTTAAAAGAATGTGATTAATTAGGGATGGACTGCGAGTTGGCAAGATTGTTTGTGATCTTGCTGTATAAGAGTACAAAGACGCGGTTATTTCTGGCTCGTAAGTTGCTCTACAGCTTGGATGACATGAAGATTCATGTCATCACAAAATCCAAATGATCAGAAAGAAAATCTCAACAACCAAGTAGGGCACACCAATTTTGACATTTATCTACATCCTTTCCGGAGCAAAAGCAGCTGTATTCAAGTTATAATGGACATCTTAGCCTTGGAGATAACTTAAATTATTCTCTTCGATCACAATTCTTAGGGAAGAAAAAACATGCATTTGTTTATAAAACACGCTTATTTCAAAATCCTTCATATAAATTGTTTTGTCATGATCAAAGCTTCCTTGATTTCATTATATATGTATATACACACACGACGTAAATCAGCTAAAATCAAGTAGATGCCTTTTAAATTGACCGGTTGTTAGACCTCACGCTGACCTGATGAATTACCTTATTGTAAAAGAATTTCCTACTAGTTTTGATGAATGAAGTTCACTCTGCTAGCTTTTCAAAATCAAAAGCAACATGCATGATACATCAGAAGATTGGTTTCAACAGAAACAGTTATAATCATTTATATAAATGATCTCATAATTAAATTTTTTTATATATATAAAAGTTCTAAGATAATTATATTTATTTTGTATATTTAATAAAATAATGATAAATTAATTTGAATTTTTAAATTTTCATTACATTAAGATATTCAAAAACGACATGCATGTATGGATAGCAATTTGCTATGTCCCGTCGGAGCCCTGTTCTGCCCCGCCTCAATCCGCTTAGGATGGGAATGATATTAAAAATTTTGCTTTGAATAAAGCACGGACAAGAATGAGATGAAATTTTTTTAAATGAGGATGGCTATTCCAACCCCATTTCGTAATTTTACCTTTACAAATAATAATTTTACAGGATTTTATCCCGTTCAGTCCCATTTAGGACAGAAATGATGCTTAAAATTTTGCACCGAATCGAATACATGATAGGAATGTAACGACATTTTTAAGGGTGGGTGCCCGCCCCGCCCGCCCCATTACCATCCCTGCATGCTTGGTGACCGGTGATGTCAAAAGTAATAGGCTAACATGAAACTGTGTAAATAATTGTCCTTGATTGCTTAAAGGCGTACGTTAAATTGTAATCAATGTCATGTCAAAGAAATACGCTATGATGGTGTCTGGCACTCATAATAGATGATGATCGATATGGAGAGGTGGAATCACCGAATCATGTGAAGTTCATTTAACGACTTGTATTTGTTGCTAACGATAGCCAACTTTCGTTCATTATCAAGCTGTGAAATTAACACAGATGCATAGGCTTTCAATTGTCCTAAAAGCACTAATCATGAAAACTCATGTCTTAATTTCTTTGGACTTGGACGGTTGCTAGCTACCTGAGACTCCTCATGACTTGTAATTGTCATTGAGGCTTCCATGTATTGTGTGCTTATGATGCATTTGCAAGTTGTTTTTTTTTTTTTAATGGTGTTCATATCCCTGCATTAAAGTCATTGAAAATATCTGAAAAAACGAGAGTATCATTAAATTACTTTATACGCAATTGAAATTAAATTTTTCTGATAAATATAAAGACATATCCTCCATATCAACCTAGTGCATTCATATAAAATTTATTATTAGATGTTGGTCTTGATATTTAAATTTAAAAATCAAGAAAAAAACAAATTTCTTTAACTATTCTCTTAATATTATTGCAAAGCATACACGTAATATAATGCTCACAAGTATCTCAAATAGTAAGACGAAGTTTTCTTTCTTTCTTGAACATATTAATCGTAAAAAATTATTAATACTAAGATCAATAATTACTTTGTTTTGCTATATGTTCAATAAAAAGAATTTTACGAGGAAAACAAAGGTGTAATTATTTTTATTAACTAGGTATCTAGAATTCCTATTATGAATTGTTCCATAAGTACAACTAAAAAAATTAAACAGTTTGACGAGCCCTAAATATTATGCTTGCCCTCTTAGGGTTTATCATATATGTGCGCGTATATATATATATGGGAATAAATATTGCAACACTATGTTGGTGTACGGCACGAAACAACAACTACAATCACATCATTAATTTTAGCAGCAATGGATCATATGATTAATCAAAAAAAGTTCTT